AAAACCAGTCCCTTTCCCCAAGAATGTTCCTAAGTCGGATTCACGCATCAGTCCCACAAAGTGAGCCTTACCCGTCTCGGACACAACACACGGCTTTGCACTGCCTGCAGCCTCCTCCTCCTCACCGCAGCTTTTCCTCTTGGTTCTGGACATCCTGGCTCTGATTAGCACTGCACTACTACACAGTCACACTGTGCAGTAAGCACACAGCAGCACAACTGTGACAAAGTCCAGAGACGCCTGGGCTGCTTCTGTCATCTGTTTGCATCCACTAATGTTCATAATGTGAGGTCCATTTGTGTCTGTGAAAGTTTGCAACTCGAATGTTTGTAGGTAGGGGCCTTACTGTGCTATGACAAGATGTATAAACTTAGCAATAATCAAAGAAACACAAAGGGCAATAGGTAACACGCTGCAACTTTAGGCTACTAGGACTGCGAGCGTACAGGGTAGCCAGAGTGGGATCTCAGGTGATTCTATCTCAGGATGCAAAAGAAGAGGGTGAGGCAGGAAAACTGAGCAAGTGTCAGAGCGACTGTTCCAATCTCCGTCACCAATGGTCATCAGGGCCCCACAGCAAAGCAGTAAACACCAAGAGAGACCCAGGCTTCACCATCGACTTTTATTCACTGACTTTGACAGGAAAATCAACGATCAAGCTGGAATTCTAGAGGCTTCATGCCTCTCTATATAACGCCTCAGAGACCTCCAGTGCCTCAGCTGGGCAGGTAACAGACCTCCAGCCCATCCTGTCCACAGCCAGCCAGTTAGTGGCTTTGGCCACGGAACAAGTCAAAGGGAAGATATGAAGTCCCATTTGTCCATGACGATGACTAGAAAAAAATTCTAAAGTTAACTTCCAGCAATGACAGAGTAGTGGTCTCATTCTTAGATAGGACTTCACTATATGTTTATAGGTCTGAAATATCACAGCAAAATAACTTACTGAAAAAGTACAAATTCCTTCTTAAGTCAGTCTGTTGGTCTCTGAGACACCAGAAATGTTGGATGGTTTCTGTTCAGTGCCTCTATGTATTATCTTAATTGAATGTGTAAACAAAAAATGCAGAAAAAAGAAACTGTCTTCTTTCCTTTTGAGGATTAGTTTAACAGAGGTTGTCTGGAGACAGGCTTAGATCTGAAAGTACACCTTCCATGGGGTCCTCCCACTCCATCCCTCAGCTTCAGGCAACCTTGTTTCTATTTCCTCAGCTCTGACCTGGCACTTCCTGAAGTGACTGCTGTTAGTAACCGCTGCCCATCTATACTCAGCCCAGCTGTGCAGATATACCTGATTCAGGCTGCTCAGTGCTGCCCTGGCTAAGGCCTCCTGTGCCCATACTTCCAAAGTCAAGTATTGGGCTTGGAAAGAGCCTGGTTAACACCTGACCATGGAGTCTGCCTAAAGCCACAGGTTCATTTTTGGCCACTGTGTGCCTAGAACTTCAAGATACTGGGAATAAACGATGTGCCCACTGTCCTTATATTCAAGTAAGAGGAGAACAAAACAGTAACGAAGTATCTTGGAGAACACACACCAAAGAGACATGACATCAAGTGAAAGAGAAGGGCTCTTGGGAGTAATCAAGGAACACTTCTCAGAAGGTATACAGGAGCTGAGATTTTAATGGCAAAGATGTTAGGACTGGACCCAGGGAACAGATTTGCCTCGTTTCAGAAACAGGCCAGGGTGGCTGGAATAGAGCGATATATTTTTCCAAAAGATCACTCCCGTGCAGAGGAAACAGGTGCAAGGGAAGCCAGATGAGCAGTGCAGTTCTGACCTGGTGTATTTTGAAGATGGAACAAGACTGTTCATGGAGTAGACATGGGGGCCAAATGGAAATGAGGAATCACTAAGGAGTTCCAGGTCATCATCGGCCTGAGCACAAGACAAGGCGATGCACACATAATGAAATGACTCTTAAGTCACAGTATAGAAAGCAAAAGTGGCTTTGTAGGGTACACCTGTGGCTGCTGGTATAACTATGCTATGCAACTAAGATGAGCATCCTAGTCAGTGCCCAAGAGTTTGGCTCTACAAGGCCATCAGCACTAAGGATGCCAACTCTAAGTCAAAAGCTCTCCTGTGGGTGGCACTGGTCAAAGCCAGCGCCAAGCCTGCTTGCTTCTCCCCGGCTTCCCCAGATATCCCTCCCCATTCAGCCAAGCCCACTCACCTGATTATGTTTGGCAATGTTCTCATAGGAACGCCGCATGGCCCAGAAAGCCTTGGCTTTCTCCCGCAGCATGTGCTCCAGGTTCTTACACTTGGCCTGCATAGAGGAGGAGGAGGAAGGCAGGTTAGGACTAGAAGCTACAAAGGAGGGCAACATGCATTTATAGCAGTAGCTCCACTTTGACATGAATATAGCAACAGCATTTACTGACTCCACTGAACCCAGTACTGCCAAGCACTGCAGGCACAGATGAATGGTAATTGTACTTCTGGCTTTGAACCATCCATTTAATAGCATAAAGGGCCATTGGGGTTCCTCTAACTGAGCACCCTGCTGTTTGCTAGTATAGGTGAGACAGGGAGACAGGGCTGAGAAAGCAAAGGGGCCTGGTCTGACAGGACAGTCACAGGTCCAACAGAGAAGGGTATCCTGCTGAGGCCTAGGGCTAGCCCAGGCTGTGTCCCGGATCCCTGTAAAGACAACACGGCCACAGGCTCTTTGCAGTTTTTTAAACTGTGCTGGTTTGCAGTCATACGTAGGCCAGACAACAGGTGCTGATTCAGTCATTTACCAGAGTGAAGACAATCACTGAGGCTTCATCTAAAAATGCCCCACCCTACCCTATCCTCTCCCAACTTCTAATATTGCTTAATCATGTGAAATACTTATATCAGCACATCTAAATGCTGGTTACCAGTTTTGTTTTTAAATTTCAATTGTTTCTGATATCCTTAGACTTCCAGAAGAGCCACTATGAATTTTAGGTTGGCTTCCTACCTTTTGTACCTGAGGTCTTTCATTATCCTTGTGTATGTGTCTCACACACACACACACACATTTTTTTTTTTTTTTTTTGAGAGAGGGTCTCATTATGTAGGTCAAGTTGGCCTTGAACTCACTATGCAGCCCAAGCTGGCCTTGAACTCACAGTGATCCTCCTGCCTCAGCCTCTCATGCCTGAGATCACAAGCATGTACCACTATGCCTGGTGCTTTCTATATTTTAAGAAAGCTTCTTATGTTGTGGCAGAAATTTTGCCTACATTTAGTCATGTCCCAAGACTGCAGAAGATTAAGACAGGGGCAATGAACTAATTTATCTGCCACAGGAAATTTCAAGGCAGCCAAACTTTCTGCCTTGAAATTGATATGGATATTTTTGAGGATTTTTAGCCAGCTGTACATTGAGAATCAAGAACAAATGGCACTGCTGAGTGATTTTAAAAGTTTGAGTTTCACCAAAAAGAACTCCCTGCAAATTTGGAGCAGAGGACATGTTGGTTGCTGAAAAGCTGAGCATTAATAGAAATCAAATATTTTACATGTGATTTTACAAACAATGCCTTGAGGGCATTTGCACAATCCCAAAGATCATACTCTTTGAAGACTCAAAGGTGAAAAAGATGAAACCTCTTTTCTTTCCTCTCCCCCCCCCCCCGCTCTTTTCTTTCTGTTTGTCTGTCTGTGTGTCTGTCCTCCTCCTCCCTCCTCCTCTCCTCCTTATTTCATTTATTTATTTATTTATTTTTAGAGAAGAGACATACAGTTTCCTCAAGAAGGGCTGAAGAGGAGACTGGCTTCCTGGGATTGAGTTTATAGTACTCAGCTATCTTCACTCAGCTATCTTCGCATTCAGAGGCCCCTGCAGCCATTATGCAAAAAGACCTAGCTACTACTGGAGTTAGTGGCAAACGCTGGCCCTATCCACTTGGTATTGGTTTTATAGGCATGAAGAATGTAGGAGATGTAAGGTCAAAGGATTCCATACAAATTTCAGATGAAGGCACTGGAAGCTAAACAATATGCTCCTGAAAGGTCAGTGCATAAAGCTGTAAGAGTAAAACCAAGTCCAGCAAAGACCCCAGGAAATTGAGAAGTCAGGAATGTGGAGGATCTGAAAAAAACCACAAAGAGTGACTAAAGCCAAGCCAAGAGTGATGCCACAAAGGCTACAACCACCAGCAGTGCTGTAGTGGTGAGCTGCCCAAACCCTTTAGAATCTACATGTCACAACTTGCCTTGGGTGCTAGACAAGGACCTATAAGAATTAATGTTTACATTGTAGGGCTTTGGCTTTACTTTGGTTCCACTGGCTTACATCTCCTTATTCCTTTCAGAATGGGAATGTGTATGCTGTGCCATTTTAGGTTAGCAGTGTATAATTTATTTTTTATTTTACAGGGGTTTGCCTATTTATTTTACAGCTGAGAGTTTGCCTTATGTCTCAAGGGATTTTGCTCTAGTACTTTTCAGCAATGCTGAAACTGTTAGGATTTTGGCAACTCTTAAAAGATGGAATAAATTTTACATAAAGGTATGCACATGAGTCTTTTGGGACCAGGGACAGAATATTACACTTCTTTATCTAGACCTCTAAGAGTCTCTTCCACTCATACAGAGGGCCTTTGGAAAGTGACCAAATTATGGGGCTTACAGAAGTTGGGAGATGGAGGGGAGGATGGGCCACTGGTGATGTGGCCTGCAAGAGTTTATCTCTCTCCCAGACCCTCCCTTTATCTCTCTCTCTGCTTCCTTATACCATCACATCGGTTTTTCATCTGCTATGCCCCTTCTGCCATGTGGTCCTGCCTTGAAACCAGCTGATCATGTTATGGGTCAGCTCTGCATAGGAACCAAATCAGCCAGATAGAAATTTGAATAGAGCCTTTTATTTACTAAGCTCAGGTCCATCAGCCACTTCTCTCGCAGGAGAAGGCTGATCGCCCCAAACATAGGTAGCAAGGGGGTATTTATAACAGAAATCACATCCAGTTTGGTAAGCAAATTTGTTATCTAGCACAGAACAACAGAAACTGCATTTATTTGACACAGCTGTAAACTGTTTATAACTAAAAGGTCTTTCACAGCTTAGTGATAAGTGTATATTTTTATAAGATATATCTTAAGCTGACTACGGTATAGGAGATGGTTGGGGAGGGAGTTTGTGTTAGCTTGCTGCCTTGACAAGAAACAGTTATTTATTGCTGAACAGCCTTGAGCCGAAAGGGAGAACACATTTCTTAGAGCAGATAACAGGAAGCACAAGGGGTTTTTATAATTTTCCACAGTTAAGGCACAAAACTCTATTAACCCTTTACAATCACAGACTAAAAACATGAACCAAAATAAAACTTTACTTCTTTAAGATGCAGGTTTTGGGTACTGGGTCTCAAAGATCAAAAAAAGGGAACAAGTTACAACGAGAAAACAGAAATATACTCAGCACAGGAGGATGTGCTGGAGCCAAATGTAGGTCAAGCAGGTCACCTGAGTTTTAGAGCTCTTCAAACAGGAAACTGGCTGGCAAATCAAGTCATCATGTGTAATAGAGTAAAGACAGAATTAATCCAAAGGATCTTGGCCAAGACCAGAGATTTCCCTTCAGCACAATAAAACCCTGCCAATCAGATTTTAACTAGAATTGTACTGATTTTAGTTTTGTTTGGGTTTTATCCATCAACTTTTTTGGGTTTCATAGTTTATGTGTGATATAGGCAATAACTCTTATTGCTCCCCAGCCCTACATCCCACCACCACTGCTTGCTGTCCCTCACTTCCTTGGCTGTCCCTCACTTCTCTGGGCCTTCAGTGTCTGTGATACCAGTTTTTGACTTTTTTCTATGTCTCACCAGACTGATGCAGGTCTTCCTTTTACAATATCTCATTACATCTTAAACCTTCCTTCACAGAAATGTTGGCTTAAAATTTCCGAACCATTCATGTGATTATTCAGCCATGTCTACTGGACTCCACCAAAGCAATGTCTCTGCTTGTTCTCTCCTTTACTGGACACATAATCACACAGTAGGTGCTCAGTCCACTGACAATGGTCAGTAGCCACCTAGACCCCTAAGCATCTACAAAGCCAACTGCCCAGAGCTCTAGAAGCAGGGGAAGAGCAGGGATGAGACAAGCTTCTCCCAAAGCCTATGACCACAGCAGGGGGCTGAGCGAGGCCTCTGGTGAAGATTATAGTTACTTGCTCTGTAACTTGGGTTCTCTCTGTGACGCTGATTAGGGACTGAAACCTCCATATACTGTGCACTAAATAAACCTTTCCTTTATTTTGGGTGTCGGGTATTTTGTCCTAGCAACGACAGAAAAGTAACTAACACAACACCCTCAACTTAAAAATTTGGCAGACAAAAACTGCCAGGGTACAACGGTATCTCTATGAGCTAAGCCCCAATGTTTTCAAGAGTCGGAAGCAGCTTAACACCGACTTTCTGATCCTTTTTCCTTCCTACAACAAAGACTTCTCCAAATGTTACTTTCGCTCTGTAAGTTGCTCCGAGGCTTATTTACAGCCACTGCAACTCCAGGCCTGAGAACCCCAACGGGCGACCTAGAATAAACCAGCGGGCTAGGGCTAGAGCCAGCGCCCGCCCCGCTGCCAGCTCCGGCAGGACGACAGGGCTGGGGCAGGCTCCGCACCTAGCTCGGGTGCTGGGCTCCCGCCACGTTCTATAGCGCGTGCGCCCCCCAAACCCGTGCTGCTCACAGGGACCCGGGCCGGAGCTCAGTGGCAAAGGGCGCACCAGGCCGGGCCCCAGGGAGGGCTGGCGGGGCGCTCGGAGCGCGCGCGCTTCGGGCGACGTCCCCTCTCCCACCGCCGCGGGGCACCAGTGGGCGGCAGCGGCGGGGCCCGGGTCCCCGCGGAGCGGAGCGGAGCCGAGCCGAGCGCGTGCTCGGCAGCGCGCCTCACCCGAAAATCGTGGGCGGTGTCCTTCACCGGCTGAATGCGGTGGCCCTGGTGCCGCGGGTCGGCCTGGCACAGGCAGCACAGCAGCTCCTTGTCCTCCAGGCAGAAGAAGCCGAGCTGGCCGCGGTGCGGGCGGCAGAGGCGCGGGGAGCGGTGGCCGGCGCGGCGCGCGCCCTCGGCCTCCTCGCGCAGCAGCTTCTCCACGAGGTTGTTGAGGGTGTGGTTGGTGCGCAGGTCGGCGGGCGCCGCGCGGGCCTTGCACACCGGGCAGGAGGGCGCCGCCTGCACCTCCCAGCAGCGGCTCACGCACCCGCGGCAGAAGTTGTGGCCGCACTGCAGAGTCACCGCGTCACGGAAGGGGTCGAAGCAGACGGCGCAGAGCAGCTCCTCCTTGAAGGAGCCAGCAGGCCCAGACAACGGCGCCGGACTCAACTCCATCGCTTCCACAGCCGGTTCCGGCAACTTTCACTCCGGCCACTCCCACCCTTTTGGCGGTTAGAAGACGAGCGAAGGGCGTCGCCTAGCCCCTTCCGGTGGGACCGCTGAGCGACGGCATCACTGGCCAATCGCGAGGGGCGCGCTGGAGAGGCTCCGCCCACTTCCGCTGAGGCGAGCACGGAAGATTCCGCTCAGGTGCCCTGCGCCTTTGGGCTAGCTCGCGTTCGGGCGCTGTTTCGGCTTGAGAAGGAGTTGAGGTCTAGGATTCCCTTCCTTAACCGCTGCCTGGAAATTTCAGGCCTGCGAATGGGAGAAGGCGGGGATCTTAACCTCCCGGTTCCGAGGTGGTGGGGGCTTCTTAAGGCACCGTTACTGGCCTCGCCCCTCAGAGCTGGCAGTGGATTCCTAGTGACGCGTTCCCACTGTAATAATCGTTGTGTACTGGGTTCGGTCACTCTTTATGCTGGCCTCAGGGAAACACTTGAGGTTAGAGGGCGGTGACAGGCTCTGGTTCTTGACCTGTGGTGATAACTCACAATCCCAAGATCCTGTTCATCGGAAGTAAAGTGGCTATACTATCTCTTGTCGGGGTGATATATTGAAGATTTTTAAAAACTTTTTCTGTATTTAGGACAGGGTCTACAAGGTTTCACTAAGTAGATCGTTCTCGCAGTGATTCTCCTCTTTTTAGCCTCCCAAGTGCTGGGATTACAGGCATGCGCCACCATGCCCAGTCTCAGTCGCCTTCTCAGCTCGCCCAGCGGGCGGGGCTGGCAGGACACTGAGGATCCAACCCAGTCCCTGCGTCTGCCTAAACTGGAGCTTTAGTCTGCTGAGCCATCAGGCCGGCCCAGATTAAAGTGACAACGACGGGAAAGTGCTCCTGAAATCAACCAGGGCCCCATTGAAATGGGGATTAAGGAGTTAAGCAAAGGTGCCTTGGGCAACTAGGAGCCACCCTAAACTCCTGTCAGTGGTGAACAGAATCCCTCCAGCTCTGCATTCCTGCTTATGTGCTGCAGATATAAGATAACTTTTGCCTGCTGTGCTTCCAGTCCTGGTCTCTGTTGACAGGTGCCTTATATATAAGCTCCTGGTTTCCTGGCAGCCTTTTTTTTTTTTTTTTTTTTTTTTTTTTTTTTTTTTTTTTTTTTTTTTTTTTTTTTTAGTAAACAGTTTCAGAAGATAGAAATAATGTCTCCCTCCAGGGAAAGCCTAACATTCTGGTTTCCTGGTCTCGGTTTCTCCCCTGCAGTGCAAGCTGCAGTATCCCTCATCACAGAGACTTGTGGGAAATGAGGCTCAGGAAGCTGGCTCCAAGGGTGCCGTGACTATCATTGGTAATAAATCAACCTTCATTCTCTGACTAGGATTCTCATGTCTTCTACCAGCATCCATGAATCTGCAGCCTCCTCCCTTGTTGACTTACAAGACAGGTAAAATCTCAGAACCTGTACAGTTCTTTATTCTTTCTTCAAAATAGTCCTTTGCTCGCAGGTGAGTATCACTAATTCTTACTGCTTCCAGTGTTTCTTATATGCAATTCATGGCCCACCCACAGTCACCTGGGGAGATTTTTTCTTTTTTCCCTTTTTTTTTTTTTTTTTTTTTTTTTTTTTTTTGTGAGACAAAATATCTGACACCCAAAGTTAAAGGAGGTATAGTTTATTTTGGCTCACAGTTTGTAGTGGTTTCAGTCCACAGTGGCTGGCTCCGAGGCGGCGTGGCACAGTGGAGGGGTATGCAGAGGAGACAGAGTCCATGGCAGGCAGAAGGCAGCCAAGCGGCAAGCAGTGACAAGCAACCCCAGCTGCCCTCTTTCTGGCCCTTACAGTTTGTCCAGGCTACCTGCCCTTAGGACAGGCAGCACTCACACCCGGGGAAGAGGTCTTCCCATTATCCACTCCCAGAGCCATGCCAAATCAATCAGTAGGCTAATTTAATAATTTCACACTCTTGATTCCAGCATCACACACTCTAGATCCTGCCACCTGAAAAGCCCCAGCTATGGGTCCATGAGGCTTTAAGGGGACACAAGCCATAATACTTTCTTTCTTGCCTTTCTCATAGTCTTGCTTTATAGCCTAGGCAGGCTTTGCTCACTGTGTACCATAAGCTGCCCCCAAATCCGTGGTGACCCTCCATCCTAAGCCTCCCGAGTGCTGGGATTACAGGTGCAGGCTGCCACGCCCAGCTTCCTGGTGAGTCTCCCAAATGCAGAGTCCACCATCTGCAGTGCATGATGGCACACACTTATAATCCAAGCAGTCTGGGAGACTGAAACAGAAGAGCACGGTTGGAACCCATTAATTATCCAGCTCTATTGATACTGTGTCAGATTTTTATTTTTTATTATTTATTATTTCTTTTTTCTGCCAGCCCAGATTTTTAAAAAGAAGGGGACCAGGGTATAGTGCAGTATGAAGACCCGGGGTTCCAGCCCCAGTACTGCCAAAAATAGCAAATTCGTTGGCCCAGTTCCGTTCACATCTTGGGGGAGATGCCCAGGGACCTGCATTTCTATGTGGTTCTCAGATACAGTAAAGTTTGAGAGACATTCTAGACTTACCACCCAACAAATTGCCAGGTCTCCAGTTATGGGTTCCGGTTCAAAAATTAATCTTAGCAACAATATCTTAAAAAGTCACAGGTAGAACCGATAAAACCCTGTATTCCAGGAACCTCAAACTTTTGAGACAGGTTATCAATAAATCGGATAATGCTGAGTTCTAACTTGTGATCCTTTTGTGTCTCCCAGACTGCTGGGATTACAAGTGTGAATCATACACTGGATGGTGGAATCTTCACTTAGAAGGTTCATCAGGAAGCTGGGCATGGGGGCCAGGAAGATAGCTCAGTAGAATAAGTGCTTGCCTGGCAAGAGCAGGGTCCTGAGTTCAATTCCCATTATCAAAAAAAAAAAAAAAGATTCCTAAGGGCCAGCTAAATAGCTCAGTGGATTAAAGCACCTGCAAGCAGGTACAGGGGTCAGGGGTTCGATCCCCAGGCCTGCCATGCCGGCCCCGCCCCTGGGGCACGCTGAGACAGCAATTGAGACTGGGTATAGTGGCGCACAGCTGTACTCCCAGCTCTTGGGAGGCTGTAACAGGCAGATCACCACCAGTCAGATCTAGTAGTGAGACCCTGAACACCCTGTAGACCCTTCCCTAAAATTAAAAAATAAATTTTAACAAAAAGGAAGCTGGGCATGGTGGTATGCACCTATAATTCCAGCACTTGGGAAAATCTTGTCTCTGGTCTCATTTTCCTTCCTTGTTTTTTACATGTGTCCCACTCTTTTGGTGAGGTGGTCTGTATTGCTATCTGTTCTTAACAGATAGTCTTTGTTTCATTGATGCTTTACCACAGTTTCCAAATGAGATTACAAATCAAAAGAAAGATGAAGAGTGCTTATTAATATGTGGGTTTTTTTTTTTAACCTCCAATATAAAGGTTAACATTAAACCAGTGAGGTTCTCAAGCTTTTTGTTGTTTTTTGTTTGTTTTCAGGTTTTTTTGAGACAGGCATCTCACTATGTAATTCAGGCTGGCCTTGAACTCACTGTGTAGCCCAGGCTGGCCTTTCATTTGGGGCAATCTTCAGCCTCCTGAGTGCTGGGAGTGTAGGTGTATGCCACCATTCCCAATGTGGTTTTCCAGGCTTCACAGAAATATGGAAGAGATTTATTTTAAGCTATAGCACTAATCAGTGGCATGCTGGGGCGTAGTTGAGCACTATTCTTCTGGCCTCTTTCCTCAACTATAAGTGAAAATGATAGAACGTGTAGGGATCCATTGGTCTCAGTTCTACCTGATGAGAAATGGCAGCAGGAATGAAAAAAAAGAAGACAAAAGTTGGGCTAGGTGGTGGCCAGTCTGCCTAGTAGGTGAGACAAACCCAACCTCACAACAAAATGGTCCTTTATTTATACTTTTGCAAAGTTAGTAATGCATGACACAAAGTTGCCTAGTGAGTAATGGCTGACCTTAACCAGACAGGCTGTTTATCTCAGGACTGAGGTAGCTTGTTTGCTTTAGGCACAGAGGCACACACATTTGACCAATTTTCTAGCTTCTATGGCTCCCAACAAGAACTTGTAAGTACATGGATGTTAATTTGAGAATGTACTGTTAAGTGAAATAAGATGCACAAGCTCAAATATTGATTTCTTTTAAATGAGAAACACACAGAAAACATATGTAGTAATGCCTGGGTTCACAGATGCTTCTGTTTGCAAACAAAAGCATTCAGCAAAATGTAGCTTCCATTCCCAAACTCTACGCAGGTGACAACCATGATAATAGCCATGTCCCCTGATAGATTATGGCCCTAGTATGAATTGCTGAATTATTATGGTGGTCATCCAATATGGCTGAAGCCCTTAAAAAAATAGCTTATCTTCCCAGAGACCACCTCCCCACTTCTTCTCCAACTCATTACCTTTTACCTTTCCCGCCACCTCAGGGAAGGCCCTAGTCAGCTCCTCAGGTGTATGGAAACATCCTCCTCAAAGCCCACCCCTGGCAAAGGCCATAAAAGCCTCAGCCTCCCTTTGTTCCAGTCCACAGAATTCCTTTTCTTCCCAAATTTTCTCCATGCCCTCCAAGATAATGAAGCCCCTTTCCCTCTATAATAAAGCCCCTTTCCCCTTTTCCTTTTACCTGTTTCTCTGCTGCAACACCATCAAAACCTATCATTCCCCATACAAACACAAACGCAACCATCTTCCCTAAAATCATGGAACAAATTAAGTTGATAAACTGATGTACCATTATATGTATGTATGCTCACACACAAAAAGCAAAATAGAGACATAAGTAGGAAGTAAGGAAAAGTTCAAATGCTTTTCCATTTACACATTCCACTGTTGCAAAAATATTTCAATATATATTAATTTGTCCCATTTATACTACTAACTTATCTTAGTTCATCAAAAAGTTTTGTGTTATTACCTGTTTGCTTTTTGTAGGAATCTTTTGGCATTTGGCTTGTATTGAGTGAATATTTTACAAATAAGGATACAAAGTGTATTAACTTATTTTCTTAGGAACTTTTATCTTTTCATGAAAAACTT